ACTGACATTGTCAAACAGGCATCGCTGAGGGCTTTATAAAAAATCTTTGTTTGATGCAAGTGTCCCTTTGATACTGACATCATTCCCGTGCATACACGCCCATAACAGAAGTCAACATTCCCCTATCCTCTCATGTGCCTATCAAAAGTCAATTAAATTCTCATCGTTCTAAAACCAACATCAAAATATTTGCCCTTCTGGAGTAGATTATCTTTCCATTTTCATTAATGCAGCGTTTTGAACCTTTCCTCATGGCTGAAAGTGGGTGCTGAGGTACTGACGTAACCGAGGAGTCGCGTCTTGCACTGAAAGTTTAAGTGGTGTTCCTGTATGGTTGCAAGACCAAAACAAACACTTAAATGAACAATCATTGTTGCATTGTGCCAAAGCAAAGCACTTAGCTGTCATTGTGGTTAAGTAATTAGCAATTTATTCTTTTTAAGCTTACAAGAAGTGCTGCAGTTATGGTTAAACCCCTAAAAAATGACCTAAGACAAAGGTTTATTAGAAAGACTTTAAACAATAACACAACAATTATCCACCAACTTTAGAATTGAAATGTTTGCTGCTAAAAAAATGAATGTGAAATTCTAAAAAGAAGCTTCTATAAAGTGGCTCCGTGGTGAAGCGAGAGAGGCCAGAGGAGCTACCATCACTAGCAAATAAAATAAATATTTTTGGCCAACATTTTAGCATTCCATTTTACATTCACTAGTGCAAATGCGCGGAACTGTCCTCGAAGCGCTCTTCAGGCAGTTACCTGCACTGCATTCACACCAATAAAGTCAACTTTACGAGGATATGAATGGCGCGACAGCTAAATGATAAATCATTAATCGCAACCTCCCAGACTCGCATTTTCATGTCACTTCGATTAGGCGGTGACTAATCACAAACACTGGCTTGAATAAACTTTGGACATAAGTATAAAAAGTTTGTTTTGTGTAATCTCTAGGTGTGGGGCTATCAAGAGCCCGCAATTCTTGATCGTAGTAAATGGGATGCCTACGATCCGATTCTCATCTCCGAGAGCCTCTTCGCCATCGCTAATATCTTTGCTACACTCAAGTTGGTCTACGTTTTCACTGTCAGTCCACAGCTTGGACCACTACAAATCAGCCTTGGTAGGATGCTGAATGATATCATGAAGTTCTTCTGTGTCTACATTCTCGTTCTTGTGGCTTTTGCATTTGGACTGAACCAACTCTACTGGTTCTACGCTAATGAAAGGTTTAACAGTTGTCAAGGCGTGCGTTTTAGTCTGGCTGAGGGGATGAAGGATGTCTACGATTATTGCATCACTCGTGGACGATATCTTACCAAGTAAGTGAGAATCACAGTGGGGACACAAATAATGTTAAACGACTTCCAACCACCCTTTTGACAAGCTGATGGTCAGTATTACAACACTCTGGTCCACAATTCACTTATCTCACTCTTGGACCAATAGGTATTGCATGTTCTGGAAGAAAATTGCTGACAACTTGTTATACTCCCTATGCCTCCGATTTCAAGGATTAGATTGCAGATAAAAATTGAAGACAGCTGAGATCACATCAAAACAACCAAACATTAAGAACGAAGTGAAGGGTTTTTCGCCAGGCACTCTGGGGAGTGGACGTTGCATACAGCTAATTCTGCTTTAAAGCC